CCCCTTCTCTCCGTCATCTTTCCTGCAGACACATCGATCGCTGCCTCAGAATTACAAAGTTCTATCTGCTCAGTGCCCAGTTTTGAGAAATTTGACATCAAAGATTTTGAGTTTCACAACATGTCAAGCTTTTTCGAATGCAATTCTTTGAATATCTTGATAATGACTCCGAATAATCTTACAATTTAGAAAGAGCAGATAGAGCATTTGGTATCCGGCCTCAGTGTCTCAGTAACTAAAAATAGCCAAAAATGTCAGATAGAACTAGAGTAATTCAAAGAAAGTGATATCTTAGTTATTCAAAGAAAGTGATAAGTACCCCCACCCCCACCCCCTCCCATCCCACTCCACCCTACCTGCAGACACATGCACAGCTGGTTGGTGAGCTCTATCAGGTAGTCTTCTCCCTGGTGTGATGCGCGGGCTATGGCCACCGCCAACTCTCGCTTCAGCCGCAGACTGTTGCCGTAGACCAGACTGGTCAGCGAGACCAGAGGGGCCAGGGACAGTTGTGACAGGAGCGACCCCTGACCCGGGCTGACTGCACCTAGTGACCCGCGGCCAAAGGGTGCACTCAGGAGGTGCTCTGAGAGGAGTTGGATGTTCTCCAGGTCTAGCTCCTGAGGACAGACAACAAGCCATTGCAAGAATAGATTCAAAGTCTTGTCTCAAATGTAAATACGAATGTATAAATTGTCAGCCAGCTGTTAAGATGTATTAAGTCCAAAATTTAGAAAAAAAATCTTTTTATTACATTTTTTAAATTTCCAGGCTTTTCTGTTTTAGTAAGAGTTTTACAGCACTTGCAACACTATAAGGTCATATAAGTGCCGAAGATTAGAGACGTTACTAGAGAGTAACAAACACAAAAAAGAAGGCGAGATCAAGACGATAGATGTTTGGTACGAAAGAAGAGGCAAACCACACCAGAGCACCCGCCAACCACCCATTTTCTGGGCTTACAAAAGTTGAACAGCTAGCTGCTGAAATGTTTTACACCCTCGTCGACATAATTTAAGTCATGTAGAAGATGGGCTGTTTTAACCCAGCTGTCAGGGCCAATGTCCCGACAGAAATACTTTTTAAAAAACCCATAAAAATACAACCCAATCAGAAACTGGACTCACATCAGTGTAGTTTCAGTGTCATGATGCAATATTTGACAATGACAAAAACACGACACGAATTCCCCCTCCCCCTCAACAAATAACAAATTTTTAAAAAACTACAAACAAAAAACCAAAACAATCCAAGACAAACCAAACACCAAACCCAACAATTGTCCAACCTGTAGTGTGGCAGCACAGGCGGCCATCCCTGAGCCCAGGCTAGCGGAGCAGTAAGTGACCTCCATGGCTGGAGAGTTACAATGGTCGGTCAGGTGGAGGAAGGCTGCGCGAAGGTACATGCGCGACAGCTGGCTCTCTCCTGACAGGAGCTCTCTGGGGAAGGAGGAAGTGGGGATATTTTCCATTTGATGGAGCACAATGAAACGCACTGGTAGGAACATTTTATGTGATTTTACATTTTACTTTAATTAATTCGGGACAAGGAAGAAGTAGCTTGCCCATGTACTACTTCCCTCCCTTCAGATCTTGATTTCCTTGATATGCTCCATGGGTGAGACATGGTCACAATGTTTGGAATCAAAGAATGCATAAGGGTCTGTCTCACTATTCATAGGTGTGATTCTATGTTTAAAATCGAGGAAGGTGTAAAGAAAGAAAAAAAACGTAACCATTACAGGGAGACTAAAGTTTTGTGGTGTGTGTTCCGTCTGTACCTGTGAATGTAAATATTGGATGTGTCCATTGTCTGGCCGCCCGTAATAGAGGCTTTCCTCAGGCCTTGTGCCGGCTTCTCCAACATCACCAGAGGGTACCAGAAGCGAACCAGGACCCCTTCACTTCTCAAGTACGTCTCCACCTGAACCAGTTCATTGGTCTGTGCGAAGAAAAACAAGAACACGATTTCAAAACACAGACAAAAGCCGCCATCTCCAAACCGTGCAATATGGGAACTTTCCCCACACCCATAGAGTATATTCTTTTGAGATATCAGAGGAGGATTCACTGAGATCTTTCTTGCTAAACACATATTGCTCACTTCATGTAGAGCAATTTTATTTTTTCCAAGACAGTAAGACATGAAGATTCATACCCCATTTGACTTAAACAAATAGTGAGCCCTTTATGTGAGGCATGTTAGCTAAAAAATCGATTGAAAGAAGTGTAAACCTCTTAAACTGGGTGGGGTGGGGTGGGGATGGGAGATTGGTCAGATCATAAATGACTATAAATACTTTAAACCTCCATCTATATAACTTCAATCATTAAAAAGACTTGCTGTTTCCACCCTGCCTATCGGGGCCAACCCGCGGCTGAGTGGGATACAACATCCTAGCAGACCCACCGAGTCGACATCCAGCACCGTGCCGGTCAGGCCGAAGGTCTTGAGCATGCTGCGCACGGCAAACTTGGGCAGCTGTGTGGTGGCCAGGCCACTGCCCGTGCCGGCCGGTGTGCGCACGATGACCGTCGTGCCCTTCTTGACCCGGTCCACTGTGAACTTAGCTAGGTCTTCCTTGATGTCCTCGATGGTGGGGAGGTGAAGGTCGCGGGGGATCCCGCCGTTTTCTTCGTAAAGAAACTCGACGGTCTGCCTGGCAATGTCAGTCATACCTGTACCAATACAGACAAGTGATAAATAAATTCTCCAAATTTTCACTATTCACTTTTTAAAAATTACTTGCCATCTCACTTTTCCACGCACAATGCAAAATAAGAAATTTTTAAAGTACCAACTGGAATGAACTTTTATTAAAGCAAATTTAAATCATAAATGAGTAGCAGCGACTCACACACACATGCAGCTGCAGACTTTTAATCTATGACAAGCCAATGAGATTACAGCAATATTGCGCCACAAAGCAAGTAAAAACAAGTTACCTCCATCCACAAAATTATAATCATTTAAGAAGCAGGCTGCTTAGACGCTGCCTGTCAGGGCCAACGTGGGCTCAGTGGGAAACATGTCAGCAGACAGAAGGTGAAGAAAAAGCAGAAGCAGAAGCAGAAGCAGAAGCAGAAGCAGAAGCAGAAGCAGAAGAAGGAGAAGAAGAAGATGAAGAAGGAGAAGGCAAAGGAAAAGGAGAAGGAAAAGGAAAAGGAGAAGGGGAAGAGGAAGAGGAAGAAGGAGAAGAAGAAGAAGAAGAAGAAGAAGAAGAAGAAGAAGAAGAAGAAGAAGAAGGAAAAAGAGAGAAGATGACAAAGGAAAAAGAGTTTTAAAAAAAGAAGATGAAAAAGATGACAAAGGAAAAAGAGAAAAAAAGTAGGAGAGTAAAAAAATCTCCACCCACCCAGCTGCAGAGCCCCTCTGATCTGCTCCAGGCCGTCCTTCCTCTCTGCCTCGTTCCGGAACCTTCTGCGGATGACAGGGAACACCTTCTGCTCCCAGGCCTTGACCAGCAGGGCGTAGTGATCCTCCACTGCTGCCTCCTCTGAGACAGTCTCGTCGTCCGAATCCTCCTCCCCGGGCCGCACCAGCAGCGTCTCGGGGCCCGTCACCACAAAGTTGTCGTAGCACGGCAGGAGCTTGTACTTCAGACTGGCGTCTGTGTCGTATTCTGTTGGGGGGGAGACAGTGTGAGGGGGAGAGGGAGGAGGAGAGGGGGGAAGGGGAGAGAAAGGGAAGGGGGAGTGGGAGGGGGGAGGGATGGAGTGGGAAAAAGGGGAAAGAGGGAGAGGGGAGATGGAAGAGACGAAAAATGGAAAAAGAGGAGAGGGGGAGGGACGGAGGGGGGAGACGAAGGAGGGGGAGAAGAGGAAGGGGGTAGAGAAATGAGTTTATGTTTGAGTTAAAAAGAAGTCTAATCAAAACAATAATGTCCAAATCAAACTGAGAAGTTAATTAGCTCACACTCACGACATTTGGGAGGGTGGTTACGTCTTATTAAGAACCAGGGTCCTGTTCAGTTACCACCAGAAATGGCGTGATTGCACTGCAAAGGTGTGGTACTGTGTATTTTGTAATGTTGTTGCATTATTGTACTTATTTATCACACTTACAAATTTGGTCCGAATTTTCCCCAAATAGGGACCAATAAAAGTGACATTCATTTACCACAATTGTCTTTCAATGACATCCAGTTATTTATTCATTAATCACAACCATCAGTCAACCAGTACCTGTGGTGTAGCGGTAAGGTGCTTTGCCATTGCGTACAGGAGACCTGTGTTCAATTCCCAAAATGTGAGAAAATTTTTACCGAGTCTTTCCGCTAAGAAAATGTATCCCTCTTAGTCCCGGTTGGCCATGACAGGCAGGGTCAGAAGTCCACCTCCAAACTGACATAAATTGAGTTGATGAGGGCATTAGAGCACCTTAGTTTAGTTTAGTATGGGGTTTTACGCCGCCCGCAACTGCATAATAATAATAATAATAATAGATAGCATTTGTATAGCGCATATCCCCGCTCAACAGCAGGCTCTATGCGCTTTACACTATATTATTACCCCAGCAGACCATAGAACACTCCGAAACATTCTCAGCTTCCCGGGAAGCATACAGTGCGAGCAGCCGCTTAAGCGCTCAAACACTAACAAACTGACAAGATCTTTCTCTGTCTATAGCCGGGTACCCATTCCCACCTGGGTGAAGTGAGGAAAATTCGTGTAAAGTGCCTTTCCCAAGGACACAACGTCGGGCCCTTGACGGGATTCGAACCCACGACCTTACGGTTGCGAGTCCGAGAGCCTAACCACTAGGCCACCGACGCCACTAAGGTCATATGAGAGCGCGAAACACAAGTTAGTTCTATTCACAACAGTACACTGTACGGCTGGGCTCGGGTCAGTAGTTAGAACACCTACATTTAAAAGAAAATGTTAAAACAACCGACCTTTAAGAGTCGGGGCAGCCTCAGCGACCCTGCAGGGAGCCCTGGGCGGCGTGCGGCTGTCCCTGGTTGATGACTCAGATGGGGAGGAAGCCTGCGGGGGCTCTGTGGTGTCGCTCTCGCTGTCCGAGGCGGCGTGGAAGGGAAGATGGCCGAACGACTCGCGAATGTCTCGGAGCACGTCGTTGGCTGCTTCAGCTGCGTCGCGGTGCTGCTGCCCCTCAGCATAGGCAAACGGACGGGCTCCAAAGTTGGCTTTGACGCGGCAGTTCTGAAGAGACAGAAAGAGTGATGTAAGGGGGTGAAGTAATTCTGAACAACTTAACAACTTCACGCGTAAATCAACAGATCGTACAATAATACTGACGAACTTGATACATCATGGAACTGCACAAATTCTCACATTTTGACATACAGGGAATGCATAACACTACATACTGAAAGGATTAAAACAGAAGAACTTTCAAAACTTGAATTTGTTTATATACAGTAACAACAAAAAATTTGAGAAACAAAGATCCACTTCTCATAAAGAGTTGAAAACAGGAGCAGTTTCAAATTTACATTTATCTAAAAACAATTTTTTTAAAAGAAGAAATGTTACTCTTCAAAAACAGTTTAAAACAGCAGCACGATCAAATTTCTGCTAGAAACTTACATAAATGTACATTTTGTACAGACCCAGCCTACCTTTTTCTGAATGTGGACGACGGGGTACATAGCTCCAGACACATTGTCCAGTGAGGCCGACAGTCGCTGACCGTTGTAGGTGAAGTACACTTGACCTGTGAGAGAGAGAGGTTTAGTTTCAGTAGAAAGAATTTTACGACACTTGCAACACAAATAGGTTATGTAACTGCCGAAGATCAGAGGGTAACATACTAAGAAAAGAAGGAAAGATAAGGATGATAGAATGTTTGACAGGAAAGAAGGAGCAAATCACACCAAAGCACCCACCAACCACCCATTTGTCTTAGCGTAGCGCTAACAAACATACTATTTTATTTGACAAAACTAATAACACATAAAATGAAAAAAAGCTGTTGGTTTCACCAAAACACACTTAAACTGTGTGCCGCCATTGAGTCAGCTCACAGGCATACACACCTTTTGGCGTCTGCGAGCTGTCCGGCACGTCCCCGGTCCTCTCCCAGCCGATGCCCGCCACATCTCCGGCACTGAGCGTCACCTCCAGCCTCACGCTGCGCCACTGTAGCAGGCTGGCTCCGTTGTAGTGCACTGCCTTGCCCGTGCTGTGGATGACGGGAAAAAGGTTAGAGTTCAAGTCTTATGTCTGAGTTTGAGAGAAGCATATTGACATGATAATGATAGTAATAACAAAAATAATAATGATGATGATGATGATAAAAACGATAATATAAAAATAATAACAATAACAAAAACAATAATAATAACAATGATAGCTATTCAGATGGTGCTTAATTCCTAGAAGGCTCAAATGCTGTACAATGCAGAATTATCATTGAACTTAACTGACGAATCAAAGGACAGAAAACAGTTACCAAGTTGGAGAAAAGAGAGAACATTGACACCATCACGGTAAATTTAGTTTTAGTAAGAGCTCTACGACACTTGAAACATAAATAAGTCATATAAGTGCCAGAGATTAGAGGTATTACAAGAGAGTAACATATACAGGAAATAAGGAGGAAAGAAGATAAAAGTCTGTCTTTTTTCACAAACACACACACACACATACAAAGACACACAGTACACACACAAACATCAAAGCCCACTCACTTGAGAAACAGGCAGGTGCCGACAGGGTTGGTCCAGGCCCCATCTTTCTTCTCGGCAGGAGGAGCAAACCCAAATGAGACAACAGCGCCACTCTCGTCCTGAGCGTCTCCAAATGAAGCCACCTCCAGCTCCCAGTAGAAGGAAGGAGCCTGCCACAGACCACAGACATTACAGATACTTACAACTTTACTTGTTTATGCTTTATCCATAACGGCATGAGGTTTGTGGAAATTACGGGCAGATTTTCACTTTATATTATTTTTTCATTTTTAGAGAAAGTCAGTTTTGTGAATTTTTGGCATACAAATTAAGAGATCTTTGAGGCATTCTTGAGAGAAATCCACTCTGGAGAAATCCCTCCTAAAATGACATGTTTACTCCTTCGAAACAAATTATTGTATAAAAGTTTAACTATCTCTGTGGCATTCTATACAAAAAAATCTCTCCTAAAACAATATGCTTTCTTCCTTTAGGATGGATAATTATATGAAATTTGACTTCTTTTCTTTCAAATTACAGGTATGAAAGTATATATTTTTCTGACATTACTAAATCAAGTAGTTTGAAGAAATCACAGATATATGAAAGTTTACTTACTTTCTAAACCATTCTAAGAATTCAAATCATGTCGTTTGTGGAAATTACAGGTAGGTATAAAGTTAGGTTTTTTTCCATTATTCTAAAATGTAAGTGGTCTTCCCAGCATCCACACTCTCACCTCCTTAGGAATGGGCTGGTTAGCGTAGATCATGGTGCCGCGTGGTAGGCCCACGCCCGCACTGGGGTCACCCAGGAACACAATCACTGTCATGCCTTGGGAGAACAGACAAGCGCGGGCAGGGGGGAAAGGTCGAGCCACGTCCCACACCATCTCCTTGGACTGGGGACACAGAGATCATAGTTATTTTTTTCTTCTTCTTCCTTCTAACCGGAAAAAAAGACAAAAAATAAATTTTCGTTCTTTTCCAACAACAAAGACAATCTGCAATTGTTTTCTTCTTCTCTGTGTCATAAAACGAAATTTTCTTTCCGTTCCTAAGATTTTAGTTCTTAATTTTACTTTTAGTAAGAGTTTTACTGCACTTGTAACACAAATAAGTCAGTTAAGTGACAATTTTTCTTACAAAGTTGGCGTAGTTTCATACTATCGGTCAACAAAAGCCTCCCACAAAGTGCATTTTACCAAAAACTTCCAGGGGAAGGATTAAGTCATCAATACTGTTCCTTTTCCAAATAAAACTTCTTGAATAACTCATGTTAGTCAAGTGTCATTTTATTTACAATATCATATAATTTTGACCTTAGCCTATTCTTCCACTGACTGATGATATGGCACAAAGGCGTTTAACTCTTTCTGGACGTATCACCGATGTATTGGCTGTGATAGGGTGCCTCAGTATTGTTTCGTTTTAACACGATCCGTCATTTATAATTACTATATATTGCTATTGAAAAACTCGGAGAAGATTTAGGAAAGAAAAACATCAAGTTCTACTTTGTAAAAGCGTGGGATTGGGGAAAAACAAGTGAATTAGTTCTTGCGGTCTTGCATCAACAAAACGATGTAACCGGACTCCATATAAATTTCATAACTCAAACAAAAATTGGAATATTGCTTTCAAATAAAAAGCTGCGCATTCAGAAATTTATGAATTATGCTCTTGGCCTGTATGCGTTCACATGTTTGGTGACAGTAATTTTTTCCATCAAAATTTATTCTTCTCATCACCATCTCCATTTCGAACCCTTCTAAGGCATACTTATGTTCAAAATTAATCCTTGTTTCATATTGGGATGTATTCTTCATTATATTTCCTTCAGTTAGATACATCATGTTACGTTTTGTGTGATGGTTATGCTTCTATGAAGTTATTTTGTACATCACCTGCATAACCAAATCGAACCACAATTTAATTATGTCCAGACTCCAAAAATACTACGTCCGGAAAGAATTAAGGCAATGGTATATCAGCGAACAGCTAGAATTTTATTGGCATCAAACAAGTCTTTGAAATGAAGTAAGACAAAGTGCTTAAGATAAATATTATTTGTATTCTTTAATTCTGCTCTTACCCCCTTTATGGCATAGAGTAATCTTAATTTAAAGGTATTACAAGTTTCAAAGTTTTTTAACCTTTACATAACATACATGGCATACTGTAAACTAGTCAACTTCAGCTCTTGACAAATCTTCCCCACAAACAAAATTGTCTCAACAACCATTGTTTTGAGCAACTGCAATTGAATATTTCAGTTTCTTGCTATTTGTAATATGACCACCCTTTTTAGTTTTTTATTTATTATGGGGTTTTGTGTGAGATGCTAACAGTGGTAAAGGTCACTGAGGTACATAATTTCATCTTATTGTTGTTCTAATTCTTAAATAAGATAGACTTTCCACTTAAGACAATTTAGCTTTCAAAGGTCGAAATACCCTGTATTAAGAGTAGGTTAACCCTATTTGTACGCCTGGGGTCATTTTGTACCTCAAGGGTTGTATTCTTCACATTTTAAAATACTTCTAGTGTGAAGATCTCTTTCAGTATTTCTAAAAAAATAATTTTGACAGATTGCTATGCAAAGCGTACGGATTGGATTTACGAGTAAATTTCCTCTTCAGAAATTGGGGGCACAGTGTTCCCCACGTCGTATGGATGCGATAGAAAAACATGATGTACGGAAAGGGTTAAAAGGGTTATGAATGGGTTAATCGTCAAAGAACACTCCATACAGAAAACTCACAGGTCGTATGTCGGTGCGGCACGGGGGAGGCGGAGGTTTGGCACAGTCTCGGTATAACATCCTCAGTCTCTGACAGTGGGCCTCCACCAGTGGCAGCCGACTGCCCGTGTGGCAGTCCTTGGCCAGGGACTTGAGCATGTCGATGGAGTAGCCGCAGTGCTCGATGAACTTCTTGGCAAACTCGATGTCCTTCAGGGACTGAGACAGCACCAGCGTGGTTCGGGTTCGAATCTCGGCAACCACACGGCAGATCTGGTTGGCCATGGTGTTTCCGTCTCCGGCCGAGTGGAGGGTCTGGGTCAGCGGTGAGATGGACTCGTCAGCCGGCAGGATGACCGACTTGACCGCTGAGATGACTGCCTCGCTCATCTCCGGCTGGTGCTTACAGAACATCTGGGGCATACAGGAAAAGTTTCGTTTTGACTTACTTTGAGGACATATTTTTCTGCACTATTGACACAATTTGCTTATGTAAGCAGCACAAACAGATTTTTCATAACATCGGTCTTTCTTAGTACTGATTACAAGGGCAGACAGACATTCAAGAAAGTTGATAGTATACACATATATTGCAGTCAATTATAACAAAAATAACTTTCATGTTGGTGAATTTAAAATATTCAACCTCTTCAAAACGATATTAATGCTTCCTGAACAGAACTGTACAGTTTTCCACACTTTGACATACCAGACTGCACAATGTGTAGTATCAGAAGGTGTTAAACAAGTTTCTTTAAATTGGACAATTTGACTATTATTATCATTGCATTACTGTAAGCTTCCCTGGAAGCTGAGAGTGTTTCTAAGTATTCTAGAGTCTGGTGGGGTAATAATATAGAATGGAATGTCAATCGAGCTTGCTGTAGAACGAAAATGTGTGCTAAATATATGGAGTTTATTTTCATAATTATCATCAAAATTATGTAGACTCTCCCACTGACCTGGTTGCGTACTGGCTGCACTCTGCTCAGCGGTACTTTGATGACGTCGCTGTAGCGGGGAGATAACTCCTCCTCCTCTTCCTCCACAACGCTCAGCTGGACAGTGACCACGTCGTTCTGGTCCGAGATGTTGACCACTGAGCCAAACGTGCCCTTGATACCCTCGCCCGTCACCTGGAAAGGAATTGGTTAATTCTTAATGAAACATTTCATGTGACCTTATCTTGTTCAACTTGCCCAGAACTTGCCAAAAAAATAAAAAGGCCACACTAATGTTTCACCCACCCAAAATAAGCCAGTAAAAATGTAATGTTGGGAGTCCAAAGCCAAAACAAGCCCGGAGCTCACCATGTTTCTTCCACTGTATTGCCTCCATGGGTGAAAGTTCAAAGACATAAAAAAAACCTGAAGACGTAGGGTGGGAATTTTCAAAAACCTGAGAGTCATCGTACAGAAAGACAAGATGGCAAACACAACAAAACACACACAAAAAACCACAATTTTTAACATATTCATGGGCCTACCATGCACTTGAAAATAAGGCAGCTGTTCAGGACTACTGTCCTGCTTCAAGACCATCATTTTGCACGTTGCATAGTCGCCAGTTTTTACACACGTATGTGCCAGCCCAAGTCTAAAAATCGGCAGACCTAGGTCTGGTGAGGTTAAAAAACCGGCAGGGCCAGTACATGCCGTCAAACTTTCACCCACCGTTGCCTCATACTTGGTTATGATAAAAATAGATCATTGACATTAAGCTGTAGCCTTTTCATTTCTAGTGACGAATGTGTTAATGTCACATTTAGAGCCTTGTGTTAGAGCTGGAATTCAGTCAGAACTCACTTCAGCTTCCAGTACACACAAAAAAAATGTGAATGTTGGAAGGCTGGGTTCTCAAAAACAAAAATAAATTAAAGTAATAATTTTCACAGCCCAAATCAACACATAATTTAGGAAGCAGGCTCTCACCCAGCCTGTCAGGGCCAATCTGGTCTGAAAGGGATACAACATCCCCCCAAAAAAGACTGGAATACTCAATGAAAATACTCCCCACTAATGAATCGAACTCGGGTCTTCTGTGTGCGACGACGAAGCATCTGACTGCTACACCACAAACATTGGTGCAGAAAAAAAATACGAACGACAGTAGAAGGCTGCTGTGTGCACAGGAAATTGAACACGTGGGTGGCTATTGTAGGCACAGAATGTGAATATAAAAAGGTTGCTGCCCCAGGGTTCTCATGAAATTCTTGCAGAATCGTTCAGACATTCAGTAAAATACAACACAGCCACATAAGGACATAGTCCTTAACATATTGTATTCATCCATGCAGCAACTTCCGCAAAAGTTTCTCTACACACAGATGAGGTGCTGTTCCCCTTTATTATTGTTACAGTTTTATGGCCCCATGGACTTAACTTAAACCTCCCATCCAAGCTTTAGTGTTTCCTTAAAGCCCTCAAGGGCACCCTCAAACCATTCAAAAAAGTACAAAGCAGTGAAACATATGAAAAAAGTCCCTCATAAGCTACGGCTCATCTTCACAACCCTCAACAACACCAAACTTCTCCGCAGCGCACGTCGAGTACCACGACTCCTGACGCCTCACCTTGACCTCACAGCCAGGCTTCAGCGTCTCCTCAAAACCACCGAGCGCACAGAGTGCAGCGTTGGCCAGTTTGGCCAGGGACATGAGCTGGTGACTGGACTGGTTGCGAGGCGACCGGGGGGAGGACAGGCCGTCCAGTGAGCCCAGCAGGAGGGGGAGGCCAGACAGGGCGTTAGCCAGGACCTGGGGACAGGACATCAGGAGACCATGGACAAACTAATCTAGAGTAATTACTAGAATATCATCATCATCATAATAACAATAAAATTAAAATAATAATCATGCAATAATACTCATACCAACAATAATACGAGTGCAAAATATTGATAATAAATATAATAATAACATTAATAATAATAATTTAACAGTCAGAATAAAAATACTAATACTTATTTTTAACAAATAATGATAATGATACTAAAAATACTAATACTAATAGCACTGATAGAATAACAATGGCATTACTCATAATCGTAATCATACTACTAATAACAAAATAATATCTATAAAAGTAACAGTCATAAGAATAGTAGTAATAATAATATAATGACAATAAGTTATAAATGATTCCTATCTCTAGCAACTGGGCGTCAAGAAGCGGGGCAGGTAGTGTGTGCGACTCACCCTGTGCACGGCCTGTGACCAGGTGTGTGCGGTGGACGATGTCTGGGCACTCAGCAAGTTGTGGAGCAGGGCGATCACCTCGGCCGCCATCGCGTTGGCAACATGGCCGCTGATGAACGCTCGCACCGGGTCCGTCCTAGCGCAAATGACACAACCAGGTAAAACATCATGTGACCATTAGTTTAGTTAAAGTGCTTTATTTTACAGGTGGCCACTTTAACATTACAGCTGGAATTATCCAGCTTCGCCCCTTCAAGGAAAAAAGTGGTTGTCTTAGACAGGTAGATGCCTTCAACAGTTTCATTAAAATGTAAGAAAAAAAAAAGCAAAGGGTAAATGGGAAGTGGTCATTGTCTAGGACAGACGGCTGTTAGAGCTGGTTCCACTGTTATTTCAGATTGATTTTTTCTTTGCTAGAGTAAAGATGAATAAAAATCATTCAGCACAAGGAAACAGCAAGACAGACAGACAAAAAAAAAACAGACGGCAAGAAAAGCTGAAAAATTTCTGAAGGGTTTTTCAGGGCATCAACCAACAGGTTGTATATTATAAACACTATACTGACTTTGGTAACAAGCTTGATCAAAAATATTCACATACATGAGCAAATCTTTATAATAAAAAGCATTTGCACAGCAAAATTCATGCTCAACAGAGAGCTCTATGTGCTTTTCAATATATATTACTACCCCACCAAACCCGATAGCATTCTGAAATAACCTCAATTTCCTGGGAAGCATATAGTACAAGCTGCCATTTTAAAGGTGCTAAAATACTAACATACTGACAAGATCTTTCAATGTCTAAAACTGGGTGCGTAGTGAAGTGAGGAAAATTTGTGTGAAGTGCCAAGCCTTTTCTAAGCACACAATACTGGACCGAGATGAGGCTAAAACCCCTGAATCTACAGCCTCTAGATTACAAATTCAGAAACTTAACCACAAGACTGCAGACAGACGCCTGTGACTCCCCACGACACCCACTGGTACAAGTGGAAGAAAAAAAGTTAAAAAGTAAAGTAAGTAAGTAACCACAAGACTACTGATGCCACCGTCCATACCTGGCCAGCTCTGAGTTTTTCTCCTTACAGATGACCTCCGCAGCTGTCTTCTTTTTGTCTGAGCCGCTGTTGTTCTCGGCAGTGCTGGTGTCGGTGGGCGGGGCAGTGGAGATAACCAGGCCCATCTGAGCCCACTTGTAGGCTTTCTTGAAGGCATTCACCGCGTCTTCTGTACTCAATTCTGCCTTGCCGTTCTAAGTGAAGAAGTAACAGAAATTTGTTTTACCACCAAACTGACAAAATACATATTTCAGGAAAGGGCAATTCAGTGCTCAGTTCTGCCTAGTCAGTAAACAAAAGTAACAGATATAAAAGGGAGTTTCATCAGCTTCTGACACCCCCCCCCTCCTTTTCTTTTATCTGTTCATATTTCTCTGTTGCTCTCTCTTTCTCTATTTCTCTTTCTGCTTTTGAAGCTCATTGTCTCTCTCACTAATGAACATATGAAATGGCCATGCACTGACAGAAGCAGGATTATATGAAATGAAATATGAGAGAGGCTTCCTATGTCAATGGCAAAAGATACAAAGTTCCACTTACTGCAGTAAAAAATATTTCCCACACCTCTCTCACTTAAAAAGATTGGCCTCCTGCTATGAACAAAGAATTTTATTTGCTGGAAAAAGCACATTAACAAAAAGAAAATAACAAACAAGACCTCCCTTGTACAAAGTATAGTACAAAAAATGAGAAAACAAATCTACCTTGGCAATTTCTCTGTCCAGACGTAACACTTTGTCCATGTTGGTGTTGCCAACCAGTCGGAAGGGGCGATTCTCACAGCTGTAGAGTAAAAAAAATATTAAAACTTCAGAGCTTTTCAAATAGTGTTTGAGGAAATAAAACAGAAAACAAACCAAAAGTACACTGAATCACACCAACTGAAATGCGTTCCCCCCCCAAAAAAAAACAAACAAACAAAAAAAACACCAAAAAAACACCAAAAAATCAAAAACTAAAAGAACCCCCCAAAAATACTCACAAAATTACAAAAGGGGAAAGCGTTTTATCCCAGGAATCACATCACCTCACATATCATTCCTAAATGTTTTGAATTTCAATGCTTTCAATTGCAGTAATTTCAGTGTGACCTAAATACATAGCTGCCAACTTTTCAAAACCAAAAAACAGACTTTACCCACACAGCAGGTCAAGATGGTGGGCATTGGCAAAATAACCTCCCTCCAAACCCTTCACACACACTTTTCTGCACTCAATAAATTCAAGTTATTCAAAGCAGACATACAACTAAAATCTCTCCAATTCACTTACGGGCTTAGTTCTCATTATTGCTCACAAAACCAATCTTCAAAGTTCATAATTTTTCTTCAGCATTAGCAAGTTCATGAGGAACAATACCAAAAAACCCCAGAGAATAAACATTCTCAGAAAACGAAAACCATTTCTACTCAGACCTTCAAAAACTATTAATGTGTTTTTCACGTTCTGGTTGGTAGATCAAATCACATTCCTTATCACCCTGATGAACTGACCTGAGCAGGGGCTGTATGATGTCATGGGAGGCCTGGTCCTCTCGCTTGTGCACAAAAACCGACAACTTGCCGCGTTGCACATCGCTGTCCTCCGTCTTGTCCAACTCGCCAGATTTTGATGGACGGCCCGGCAGCGAGGAATCTTGTGACGGAGACCGGCTGGATAGAAGCACTTGGTCACCTGAGATGGAGACAGTTGAGAAATTGTTAAGAAAAGCACCCAAATGCTAAGAAGATCATTTGTGGCGTGATTTTGGCTGTAAAAATAACCCCCCACCCCACACACAAACACACACAAACACACGCACGCGTCATGACTCTTGTTAAGCCTACCTGGCACCAGGAAGTCCCCGAGCTTGGCCAGGAGCAGACAGATGATCTTTGCAGGTGGGTCAGAGACGGGCTGGGCAGTGCTCCAGTGGCTGGAGTAGAGCTGCTGGCCCCAGGCTGGGAGTTCCACTTCCTCACAGTCGCCCGTGTTCATGAGGGGCAGGGAGACTCGGCACAGTTGAAGGATGATCAGGACTAGTTTGGGGGACGGTCTGGGGGGAGAAACACGAGGTCATGTTTAGTTCAAGGGTCACTTTTAAAAGTCATTGGAGGATGGGGTTTGGGGTTGGGGAAGGGGTTTGTTTGTTGAATAAAATGAGTTTGTTTCAGTAAGCCTTTTACAGCACCTGCAACACAATTAGGTCATTTAAGTGCCGAAGAGAAGAGGTATTACAAAAGAGTAATAAACACAAAAAAAAGGAGGAGTGATAAGGACGATAGATGTTTGATAGGAAAGAAGGATCAGACCACACCAGAGCACCCGCCAACCACCTGCGAAGATCACGTTTAACAAAGATCAGTTTTTAAAATCAAGGGAGGGGGGGGGTGTTTGTTTGATTAAAGGGAAGCACATAACACAATAATGGCCATTTAATGCTAGGAAAAAGTAGGAAAGACTGACAGAAACAACAGAGGGAAAGTAGGACCTACCAATGGCACCTTCCAACCACCCATCAAGTCTACTGTACCCAGAGCATGTAGAGTTGAACAGATACACTAGAGGTCAGTTCAGGGAAGGAAAGAAAAAGAAAACATTCGAAAGATGTTCAAATGTTCCACAACCAGAAAGCAAAATTTTTCAGGAGAGGCAACAAATTTCAATCTATAAATAATTGCACCTTTACTGAGTATCTTTTCTTGAATTTTTTTTTTTTAACATAAAAAATTTGAATTTCAACAAAATATTTTCCGAACACATGCAGCTGATAGTCCAAAATGAGATACTGCAATAAAATTTATTTAATAAAATTTTGGGCTTAGTATATTTGAATAACTGGCCGATGAAAAAAAACCCAACTGTTCTGAGCTGTTTCCCCCTTACCTCTGGTCCAAGAGAAGCGACAACAGTTTGGACACACAAGCTGGCTGGCTAAGGATGGCTTTGCCCATCTTACTCCTTTGTCCATTTGTCCAGTAGCACATAAGAGGGGAATGGGGCAGAAAGTAAAAACAACCTTGATTGGAATTAATGGCACAAAAATATTTCTTACCATAATGTTAAGATGATATTTTATTATCAAGAAATTTCAGAAACGTTTCAGAGCACAATGCTAACAATAAATGTTGACACACTATTATATCAACGAAACATTTCAGAAACATCTCCGATCATAACATACATACATTTTTTAAATTCATACATGGTCAATGTTAAACAGTTTACAGTTCTAGACTTTCATGAAAATATTCGCTAAATTCTTTATCAAAGTAGAAATTGTGCGTGTGTGTGTGAGTGAACGTGTGTGAATCTGAGGTCAAAAGTGTTGGACTCTTTATTTATTTATTGATATATTATCTATTTCAGAGTATTTCTTTTACAGCACTATCACCAAGAGAGTGACCACTGAACAGTCAGTACCTTCCCCTAGTTTCTTTCTGTGAGTGTATGACAGTGTGTGTGCGTGTAAATGTGTAATGGCTTTATCTTGTGAAGGAGAGGAGTGAAAGAGACAGAGAGGGATGGACAGAGAGAGAGAGAAAGAGAGAGAGAAAGAGAGAGAGAGAGAGAGAGAGGGAGAGAGAGGGAGAGAGAGAGAGAGAGAGAGAGAGAGAGAGAGAGAGAGGGAGAGAGGGAGAGAGGGAGAGAGAGAGAGAGAGAGAGAGAGAGAGAGAGAGAGAGAGAGAGAGACAAAGAAAGAAAGAAGAGACAAAGAAAGAAAGAAGAGACAGAGAAGGACAGACAGACAGACGGACAGACCATGAGAGTGAAACAAAGCTTTCTAAAGAGAGAGAGACAGAGAGAGACACACACACAAATCCAGACCTGGACAAGTTATTGAGCAGACTGAGGACCTCCTGCAGAGCCTCAGTGCCGGCCATGGCGTGACCTATGCCCTCTGTGGCCCGCGCCAGGTGGTGGGTCAGCAGCATCGACACTTGCTTGGCCAGGCCAGAGTGCTCCAGATCTTCCACCTGGGAGTCTGGAGAGGGGGGGACAGACAGGCAAGCACAGCTGTCAGACACAAACATGATGGCAAATAGGGAGTCAGACACACACGGAAAAATCAATATTGCTTGTTCTCACCAGAAATTGACCCTAATTGTAACAATAAAAGTGTATGTGTTCTGTTTTTTTCGTGTTTGAGTGTGAAAACTGTGTAAGTGACATTTGCATTTGTGTGTGCGGGCATGTGTGTGTGTGTGATGTGTTCTTGTGTGTGTGTTCTTGTGTGCATGAGAGTGTGTGTGTGTGTGTGTGAGTGTGTGTGAGCATGTGTGTGTGCAAGAGTATGTGTGTATGCATGTTTGTACACATGAACCACTCACTGTCTTCCACCTCCCACTTGACACAGCGAGAGGCCAACACCTGGAAGCCGGCCCACGCTAGCGCCGAGACCTTCTGTCTGGGTGTCTGTGTCTCCGCCCCCAGCCCGTCTGCACGGTGGCTGCCCAGACTGCAGAGACGGTCAAGTAAGTGGACCAGACCTGAGCGAACCAGGCACTTCTCTTCCGCTCTGTGGACAGATGGAGAAGAGAGACAGGTGGTTCAAGTCCCCACATTAACTTATGTCACATTTCATTGTCTATTCTAATGATCCCATAGACAGCCAATTAGGTGGACCAGAACGGAGAGAACCAAGGACTAGAGAGAGGGAGGGAGGGAATGAGAGAGAGAGAAAGAGAGAAAGGGGGAGAGAGAGAGAGAGA